TTTTTTAAATGGTGAATCTGTTTAAACTGAGAAATATTTTTATGGAAATTTATTTTATCAAGCTTTTTCCTATCAAAAGTTTACCGAAATTCACTTTTTTACTCGATAATTATAAATATACATATTTTCCTACACCACTAATTTTTATTATTCGAGCATCTTCTTTTTCTATATTTAAGATTACTGTACTTACTAATGCTGATGCTTCAAAAGGAGTAAATTATATTTATATTTATTAAACTTGTTTTGGCATTAGTTTACCAATCTAAGGATTTATATGGAATATTTTAGACTCAAAATTAAAGTCTATGGGATATTCGTTGGGATTTTAAAGATAAAATTTCCTAGTTTAGGATTGATAAACTGCTTAAAAGCCGAAATCAATTGAATCTTAAATGTCTGTTTGGATAGGTTTATGGATTAGTTCTTTATAGTTTTTATTTGAAATAGATTTTAATAGATTTTAATATTCATTTTATTCCATTTTTTTAACTTCTTGTATATTATATTTTATTTATTTTAGATATAAATTATAACTGTTTTAATTTTTATTAAAGAAATTAATTTTAATTAAAAAAAAAATTACATATTTATTTATTGTATTATTTCATAAAAAAAAAAAAAAAAATTATAAAGATTTAGTCAAAATTTTTATAAAAAACTTTTAATAAATAAATATTAGGTATAAATTAATAAAGTACTTAATATTATTATAAAAGTGGTTTTAATACAAAAAATATGAAAACTATTATTTTTAATATTGTACTATAATTTTGATATAATAAAACTATAATACCTATTATATTATATTTTTACATTGCTTAATAAGGCTTTCTCTTTAAATATTTATAAATTTAAGTTTTTATTATGGAACCAAAGCTGTTATAAATATAAAGTGATTAATGAATATAAGCCCCTACAAAAAAAAACAGACTAAAATTATAAATAATATTATTTCAAATATGGAATAGATTACTTTTAAATAAAACTCATTCTTTAAATTACAAGTACAAAATTTATTTAATATATTAAAGCATTTTATTTACTTATAAATATTAAAATTTATAGCTAATACTATTTATAGTAATTAAAAAATAAAAAATTGTTTTAAAAATAAATGTAATCATTTAATTCTTTTAAAAATAAACACTATTATGCTTGTAATATTAATAATTTAAATAAATTATATAATAATAAATATAAGAAGAATAGACATGAAAATAAAATAATATAAAATATTATTCTAAAAATTATTTAAACACTTTAACATAAGTCTAAGAGATATATATTAATAAATCTAAATTATATAAGAAAATAATAATAAAAAATAAATATAAAAAGTTATATATGGCAAAAGATGAATAATAAATTATCATTTTATATATAATAAAATAAAAAAATAATTCTATTGAATATAATAAAAATTAATAAATATTAATTTAATTAAAAAAAAAAAAATATAAATATTTAAATATTTGAATAAGATAAAAAAAAATATATAAATTTTAAATAATAAATAATATTTTAAATTAATAATTCTTGATAAAGAGTAAAAGTTTGTAAAAAAAATAAAAAAATTAAAGTATACTTATATATAATATATAATATATATATATATATATTTATATATATATATATATATACATATCAATAATATATATTTAAATATTGCAAAATTAATTATTTTATAATACTTTTTTTTCTAATATAATTAATTTTGATAATAATTTTTGTTAATCTATAATATATATAAAACATTTTATATGTAACCAATAACTTTATATTATATAAAATCTGTTTATTACCCTTAATCTTTTCTTTAGCTATTTTATAAGTTTTTAATAGTAAATATTTTTCAATCTTATTTCTTGGAATCATTTACTTTTTTTATACATAAATTTATTATTTTTATGATATTTTTTATTCACACTTAAACCAAAAATATTTTTTTTTTTGTATTTTAATAAATTAAAAGTTTAAACCATTTATATTTTTTTTTAAAATATATATATAAATTATTTTAATTTATGTAAAATTATTTTTAAAATACTAGTATAAAGAATAAAATATGAATTATTTTAAAATTTATTATTTTATTTTCTAATTTTTTCGAAATACATATATACCGTTTTAATTTTTATTTTTTTTAAACTTATTAAATCAATAAATTTTATTTTTATTTTTATTTTTTTAATCATATTTTAGAAATAATACTTAAAATAAAAATAATTTTTATATATTTAAATAACTTTAATTGAATATAAAATATATTTATTTTTTCTGATTATTTTATTTAAAGAGAAAAAAAAACATGACTTTTATAAAATCCTCAAAAAAAAAATAAAAAAAAATCAATATAAAAAAATAAAAAAAATCAATATAAATCTAAAATCGGTAACTAACTCCAATCTTATTTTTCTCTAGCCTCCCAATATCCTCCTTTATATTTATACTCCAACTCTCCTGTAAGTTAATCTAATTTCTATTCAAAAAACACAATATCATGTTATTTTCCTGATAACTCATTTTCCTTTCTCCTTGCCCTTTACTTTTGCTCTAACCTAAATTTTTCATCTGCAGCAATATCAAGTAATCCATATTCCAAAGCCCTTTAATCTGGTCTTAATCTACTATCTGTTGGACATATCCATTTAATATTTTCTTTATTTAAATTATTCAACTACATTGCATATAAAGTATATTAATAATACTTTTCTGACCCTACTGGTAATTAATATCTTTTCCAGACTACCAAACTTTCCCCAGTATTGACATTTTTACAAATTAAATCACTATTCCATTTCCCATTTAATTTATAGGCACATATATTATCCTTATTATTGACCCAACCTTCAATTTAATACTATCCTTTATCACTCCACGCCCCTTTTTCTTGAAAATTAAGTTCCCCAAAATCCCCTGTAGTATGATTTTTGAATTCCATAACCCCATAATGATCTATATACATTTATCCAATGAATATATTTTTCACTGCCGTCGTGCATTTTTTGAACGTAATATCCCATTTATTTCTCTTCAAAAAAATATGAAAATGTCCCAAAGGTTTCACTTCAAACGATTTTCCCCAAAACTGATTCTTTATATTAGAATCTCCCTAAAATATAAAGTTCTTACTTTCTCCAATTCCAGCACTTATAGGAGGATGATGACTTACTTATTCACTAATAAATTTATACCCTTTCAAATCATCTACATATTCAAAAGTTTCACCTAATAAAGGATTAAAAGGCTTCTTTGTCCTATTTATAGTACCAGCATATACACTAGCAGCAAATCCCATTGCAAAGCATAGAGCTAAGCATGAATCGTCTTATGCATTTGCCTTATCTAATGCTTCCGAATATTCCATTTATTCAGCAAGTCTTTATAACATACTTATTGGTTCATTTAAATAAACTAAAAAAAAAATATTTATTATTTTTTTTAATAAAAAAAAAAAAGACCTGGCACAGCAAATTTAGATAAATCTTTTCCTATAGAATCTTTAAGAATTGACCATATATTAATTTTTTCATTCGGGTCTTTTTCTTTAGGTAATTTCGTTCTTATAGCTTCATTGCTTATTTCAGTTGCTAAATAAGCAGGATTACTGGTCAAAAGTCTATATTTGACTTAACATCTATCCTTAAAAAATGCTACTAATGAAGTTTAAGACACTATTTAATTTTATTAAGGAATAATTTAATTTTAGTTATTAATTTTTTAAAAATCTTCCAAAATACACTAAGATTATTAAACTTTATAAAAATAAGTATCATCACCTGTAAAACTCTCAAAAACAGTTTTATTTATTTCATCGTTTTCATCAAAACTAGCATCTTTGTCGTTATTATTTACTTATTATTACATATTCGCGAAATGTTATTCTATATTATTTGCATCTATACATGAAGATACAACCTAAGCAGCTCTATATAATCTTTTACGTTCATTTTCTAAATTAATAATGCTATCTTGTAAACTTTTCTAAAAATTTAAAAAATATTAAATATAAATATATAATTTATTTGTTTTTTTTTTTAAAAAAAAAGCAATAATAATATTTTTATTTAGAACTATTATAAGTTTTTATAAATTAAAAAAATATATCTTTTAAAAAAATGAACTATAAAGATATATATATATGATTTATAAAAACATAATAGATATTGATATTATTTAAATAAACAATACTTTAATCTAATGTGTGTATTTTTACAAATTATCAACTAAATCCTTTTATTTAGTTGATGAAATTTAAGGAAGTAATTCTGATAAAATTTCATCTAATTTAGCTCCATTTTCATATACTTCAACTAAAGATTTTTCTATTTTTTAATTATTTGAAGTTATAAGCATTTTCTTATATGCTGGATCCAAAGTTTTATTGACTTTTATTAATTATTCTAATTATTCTAAAGTTAGAGAATCAAATTAACATCTTGCATAATCTTAAACTTCTTACAATTTTTAAAGCCATTATTTTTAAGAATGAATATTAGGTGCTTTTATTTCAATTTAATTAGTTCCTGAATTTATTATAATTCGTAAAGGATCATCTGCTGTTTGGGCTATATTCGCTATTTTTAAATGAATTGTACCTTTTATCTAACTTCCTTTAGTATCACAATAATGAAGACAATCTTCATGTAATATGAAATAACGATATTTCCATTATTAAAATAAATTAATCCATTTTTTTAAATATCCCTCCATTTTTTTTTTATATTATATATATATATATATATATAATTATATATAAATTTATCATTAAATATTTTTTTTTTATTTTCAAATAAATTTTATAATATTTATTAATATATTTAATATAATATAAAAACAAAAATTAAATTTTATATTTTTGTATATTAATATTTTTATTTACTTATATTTATACTAAATTATTTAAATGAATAAAAAAAGAAGAAAATGGATGACCGGGGCATCGAACCCCGCGCCTCCTGAATGCGAATCAGGCGCTCTACCATCTGAGCTAGACACCCAATTATATTAAATAATTATTGAATTTTCAAGATACTAAGTTAATATTTTCGTTTTTTTATATAAACTTAAAAAACAAATATGTTTATAATATTTAATTTTTTTTTTATATATATTTTTATTTATATAAAAATCATTTATTTTAGTTATATATATATATATATTTAATAATAACTTTTTTATTTTTTTCATTAAAAAAAATGAATAATTTAGCATCAAAAAGAAATATAAGATCATTTTCTAATAAATATTTATTTTTACAGTATTTTGTAGCAACCGCATCTTTTTATTTAGGCGCAAAATTAACTGATATTTTATTTTATGATGAATAAAAATTCATAATTTAACGTGAAAAATTAGAAGATGAATTTTGGCAAGTACATGGCGAACCAAAAATTATAAAGCCAGAATTAATTAAAAGTAAATAGCCAGGAAAAGAAAATTTTATGAGAAAATCGTGGATTTAAATAACATATGAAAAAGATAAATTAATAAAGAAAAAAGAAGAATTTGATTGAATTTTTTAATTAAACAAAAAAACATTTAAAATATATATTTTTATATATAAAAAATTTATAAAAAAATAATTAAAAATTAAAAGAAAATGAAAGAACATATAAATTATAATTAAAATAAAAAAAGCACTTTATAAATAACTAAAATAATTAAAAAAAAAGAAATATCATAAAACTGGTAATCATTTACAAACAAGCCTTTAAAATCTACAGAGTAAAAACCTACTATATAATACACATTAAACCCCTAACCTAATTCCCATAAGGGCCCAACTCCAATAATAGCTTTAGATTGTGAAATGGTGAATTGCACTGAAAATCAATAATCCACAAGAGCCTAATAAGAACTTGCAAGGGTATCTATAGTAAATTATAATGGACATACATTATATGATAGTTATGTCCGTCCCACAAAAAGAATAATAAATTATTTAACGCATGTAAGTGGCATAACATATAATTTGATAAAAAACGCGCCTACATTTAATTAAATTAAAAATGATTTATATTAAATTTTGGAAGGTAAAATTATTGTTGGACATTCTCTTGCCCATGATTTTGAATAGATTAAATATAACCCAAAAATTAATAGTACAAGAGATATTTCTAATTTTAAACTATTAAGAAAAGATGGAAAAAAAATCTCCCTTAAAAATATGGCATAAAATGAACTTAATATACAATTTTAAACTGGTTAACATGATTCTGTTTAGGATGCGAGAGTTGCTATGCTCATTTATAGAAAATATTAAAAATAAATTGATAAATAATATTAATGATTTTTTTCTTATTATTAAAATTTTATTTTATTGGTTTTTAGTTTAAAAAAATTTTAGTATTTTTTTGTTATAATCTATAATTAATTAATGTTTTTGTTTTAATTTTTTTTAAATAAAATATATTTTTAATTGTTTAATATAAAAATAAATGTAAATTATATATATATTAATTAAAAAAATTATTTAACTATTTAAATAGGTTAATTTTTTTTATAAGGTTATATTTGAAAATCAAAAAAATTAAAATAAAATAAAAAAAGATATAATGTAGTTCAAGAAATATTATATAGAATAGCTTATTTAAAGAACTTATGAAAAGCTCTATATATCTTAAACCCTTAAAACAAAAAAATTAAGGAATCAACTTCAACAATAGCTTTAGATTATTAAATAGAGAATTGCACTGAAAATCGATAATCCATGAGAGCCAAATAAGAACTTGCAAGGGTATTTATAGTAAATTCTAATAGGAATATATTATAAGATAGGAATGTCCGTCCAAGAAAAGAAATCATCGATTATTTAATTCATACAAGTTGAATGACATAAGATTTGATAGTAACTGTACTTTTATTTAACTAAATAGAAAACAACATACATTAGATAATGGAAGGGATTGCTATTTTTTTTCATTACATTTCAGATGATTTTTAAGCCCTTATATATTTGCGAAAATTAATAATTAGAGATATTTCTAATTTTAAGCTATTAAAAAATAATGGGAAATTAATTTTCCTTAAAAATATGACTTTAAATTAACTTAATATTTAATTTTAAGAATTTCGACATAGCTTTATATAAAAAATGTGAGTTTTTTACTTATTTATATAAGATATTAATAATAAATAATATTTATAAAAAAAATTGATAATATATTTTTGTTTTAATAAAAATTCTAAAATTTTATTTTTCAATGTATATTAAAGATTATAATATATATTGAATTTTTGGATATCTTTTTTTTTTATATTTTGTATAAGTATATTTATATCTATGTTATTTTATGTATAAATATTTTTTAATTTAATTTTATAAAAATATAATAAAAACGAAAATATATATAATTTTTTTAACTAAATAAATGTGCTCAAGAGGAATATATCAATTACATAAAATGAATATATAATTTTGTGATTTAGGGGGTTTTTTTTAAATAAAAATAAATATTTTTTATAAAATATAAAAATAAAATAATATAATATTTGAAATAAACAATAAAATTAACATTAATAAATTAAAATAAATAGGAAGTAGTGCTGGAGTTAGAAAATTTATATAAAGTGATGTATTAAAAGAATTTATGAAAAAAAATCCCTAAATTTAATTCAGTTTTTTTTAAAGAAGAAACAAACATCCATATTTAACAGCATCATATATAAATGGATTTAATAAAGATCTTTCTTTAAAAGGATATGAGGAAGATTAAATTTTACATGAATTAATTCGTTTTAGAAATTCATGTATAAATATAATTATTTCTAAATAATATTAAATTTAATAATAATAATAAAAAAAAATAAAGTTGGTTAAAAAGCTATTTCTTTTGCAGGAAATAAGGTATATACTTCGAAAAAATCTGTTTAAGGTATTAATAAAAATATATTTAAAAAATTAAATATTTATAATTATTTATCAAAATCAAGGAAAATGGACACCTTTAACTTGGAATTAATATCCTAGAGTAGAATTAGAAATGATACGAAAAATATAAGAGCCTAAAGAAACATTAGAAGTATACGATAATATTGCTAAATAAAAAGAAATGGTTTATTATAATGACTTTGTTAATAAATATATGAAAGAAAAAAAAATTAACATGGAAGAAATAAAATAATCTTTATGAAAGGATTACAAAAGAAATTAATTTTTATTTAATATTTATTTTTTTATTATATATAATTAATATATAAAAAAAATAAAATATTTATTAAATTTAAGAAAATATATATATATATATATATATATATATATATATATATAATATAAACATATTTATATATATAAATATTTTATAAATATTAACATTTTCTTTTTTAATATTTAAACATCTATATTTATCAATATATTTATTTATAATTTATATTTTATAATCTAAATTTTTATTTTTATTTATATAAAGATTTTTATTATAATATTAAAAATTATATCAAATAAGTTTTTATATTAATAATAAATAAAATATTAAAACAATAAATATTATAATGCTTTATTTATAATCATAATTTATAATTTTTATAAATATAAAAATATATATATTAATAATTTTTTTTTACTAATTTAAATAAATAATATAATTATATTTTTATAATATTTAATATTTATTTATTAATCTTTATAATATCCTACTTAATATTTTTATTTTATTATACTTCTTAATTCTTAATATAGTAAATGTAATTATTTAGATTTAAAATGAAAAATATACTCGTAATTCTTACTTTATTATTAATTTTTTTTTTTTGAAAATATTTTATGTTTTTTTTATTTTTAAAGTTTGATAATATATGAATTAGTAGTCTTAACTAATGAACATAACTGAATAAATTGTCATTTATTATATTTTTATATTATAATTACAAGTGATAACTTATCTTTAATTTTCTTTAAATTAGATTATATGTTGAAATCTATTTTTCTAGGAAAATATAATATTTTAATTAAGAACTGTTGCAAAAATTAGAGCAAATATTCGTGAGCTATATAAAAAATCAAAAGAAGTAGAGAACAAAAACAATTGGGATCGATAATATAATTTAAATATCGAACAAGAATTTATATTTTGTATTAAGTTTTGTATTAAGTTAATCAAGAATATACATCCATATATATATATATATATAAAAAAAAAAATATATTATTTTAGATATCTAAATTTATAAAAAATAATTTACTAATTACATTATTACTTTAAAATATGAACTTTATTTTGGAAAATATATTCATTATTATTTTTTTTTAAAAATGTCTTCTTTAATATCAATAAAAAAGCATATATATAAGTTTAAATATTTAATTTCAAAAAAATTTATTTATTATAATATTTTTTAAAATAAATATAAAAATATATAGAAATATTTTTTTTTTTTTTTTCTATTTATAATATTATTTAAATAATTAATATAATTTATTTATATGTTAAAAAAAATATGCATTGTATTTAATTTAAGTAATTAATGAGGAGTATTAAAATAAAAGATATTAAAATTAAATTTTTTTAATATTTGTTAAAATCTTATATAAAACACTAATATATATTTTTTTCTTTTTGTTTAATTTAAATATTAATTATTTACATATATATAGTATAATTAATTATTAAATATTTGTTATATTATAATTTAATTTATATAATTTATTAAAATAACCTTTTTAAAATAAAAAATTAAACAAAAAAAATTATTTTTATTTTAATATAAGTAAAATGATATATTTCGCTTTATATCTGTGTATTTGTTTAATAATTTTTTTAAAATATTATTTATTTTATATAATTTTTATTTTATTTTAAACTATATTTTAATTATTTAAGGTAAATTAAAAAAAATAAAAATATATAAAATAATATATTTTATTTAATTAGTTTAATATTTTATAAATTTTGTTATTAATTATAATATATAATTATTTCGTTATAAAAGTTATTATATTTAGAATATTATAAATCATTTTTTTGATATATAATTAATACATGATATGATTAAAAATTTA